ACAAGTTTACTGGGATAATAACAGACGAGGTGCAAAGAGAAATTAGCTGTACATGTACAAAGCTAGAGAGAAAGAGAAAGAGAGAGAGAAGGGGGAGGACGAGAGAGAGAGGAGGGAGAGGAGAAAGAGAGAGGGGGGATGAAGAGGAAGTATGCAGAAAGATTTAAAAAAACAAAAAGCTGGGATATATAACAACCACAACCAAAAATTCAAACAACGAAGAGGATTAGGGATCACTGGATTGTCTGGACTGCTGACATCCAATTCACATTTCACACATTACAACAAGTAATGCAGGAGCCTCAATAAGGCAGACATGTCATGGAAACTTAGCTTTACAAATAATTCATCATTTTAGTAAGCACATACAACTAACTGTTCATAATTTATAACATATAAAATGAAAAACAGTAATTCTGTTTTAATCTTCTCTGCATATGTGCCAGTGCTTAAATATCAAACAACTAACTGTAAAAAGAAAATTTTAATTGCAAAATGCTGTTTAAAACTCTTTGCAGTAGATACTTAAAAAAAAAAAAAATTGCACATCTTTTTAAAAGAAAGATCCTTATTTTGCTACTAAAAACATTGTGTAATATTTCTTGTTAATGCACAAAGAATAATACATTTATGTTAGTTATACGTTATATGACAAACAGCTCCTCATTAAATAAAAATTCACATATATGATAAATCCTGATTGAATAATTCTACTAGGTGGCTTCAAATGAAAACATTAAAAGAGTGATAGAAATTGCAATAGAAGCGGCCATCTTTAAACTCACTTTGACATCACAGTGTTTGTCTGCACCATGACGCCAAGTGCTTAACACTGTGGACATTCTTACCAACAATACTGACAGGTTACAAGATAATGGCGTGGTTGTAATTTCTTTCACACTTTTATGGTTTTCATTTGACGACCCTTTGTATTTCATCACTTAAAAAAAAAAGTCAATTCGTTCTTCACATTTGCAAGCAGGGAACAAATATGGGGTAGACAGATAGCACAGCACGTGATATCAAGTTCCTGTGTAGGCTCCAGGGCCACATTATCGGGGAAAGGGGGAGAGATCAGACCAACTGCCTACCTAACAAGCATGTCATGAGAGTTGATTAATTTGGGGTTTTCTTCAAAGTCGGTGTGCCCCTGACTGAGAGGCCAGAAACTAACAGTCTGCATATAAATAAGCTAGATCGTAAAATCGATGCACACATGCAGCTCAAGTTCCGGAACAAGACTTAAGTCTAGAAGTGGATGAACAACCAGAACTCTCAGCCGGAATTTACAGCCTGTGTACGCCAAGAAAAAGGAGAAGAAGAAGTCATTGGGGACAGCACTAGGTCACAGGCACAAAACCATAACCACCTAATCCACAGATGTCAGCACTAGGTCACAGCCACCAAGCCTTAACCACCTAATCCACAGATGGCAGCCCTAGGTCACAGCCACCAAACCTTAACCACCTAATCCACAGATGGCAGCCCTAGGTCACAGCCACCAAACCTTAACCACCTAATCCACAGATGGCAGCCCTAGGTCACAGGCACAAAACCTTAACCACCTAATCCACAGATGTCAGCACTAGGTCACAGCCACCAAGCCTTAACCACCTAATCCACAGATGTCAGCACTAGGTCACAGCCACCAAGCCTTAACCACCTAATCCACAGATGTCAGCACTAGGTCACAGCCACCAAGCCTTAACCACCTAATCCACAGATGGCAGCCCTAGGTCACAGCCACCAAACCTTAACCACCTAATCCACTGATGTCAGCCCTAGGTCACAGCCACCAAATCTTAACCACCTAATCCACAGATGGCAGCCCTGGGTCACAGCCACCAAACCTTAACCACCTAATCCACAGATGTCAGCACTAGGTCACAGCCACCAAACCTTAACCACCTAATCCACAGATGGCAGCCTTAGGTCACAGCCACCAAACCTTAACCACCTAATCCACAGATGGCAGCCCTGGGTCACAGCCACCAAACCTTAACCACCTAATCCACAGATGTCAGCACTAGGTCACAGCCACCAAACCTTAACCACCTAATCCACAGATGGCAGCCCTAGGTCACAGCCACCAAACCTTAACCACCTAATCCACAAATGGCAGCCCTAGGTCACAGCCACCAAACCTTAACCACCTAATCCACAGATGGCAGCCCTAGGTCACAGCCACCAAACCTTAACCACCTAATCCACAGATGTCAGCACTTGGTCACAGCCACCAAGCCTTAACCACCTAATCCACAGACGGCAGCAAATGAGACTGCACCCCCAGTGGCACGTAAAAACTTGTCAGCATCAATCACCAAATGATTGGGGGAAAAAAAACCCAATCACAATAGTTACAAAAACAAGTACTCCTAAGATAATGAATATCTGAGACAACCATGCATCTTATCTTAAACAATTCCGCCTCCATACTGGCCATATCAAACAATGTGTAACAATTTCCCCAGTCGGAGCCATCACAGAAGCCAGAAGATGTAACTATACAAAACAATGATAACAAATTGATATAAACTACACTGTGTCCCACAAGTGTCCATACATACATAGGAAAAATAAAGATATCACCAAGGCAATTAGCAGCATCACTCCAGCTGTGCTTATACGAGTTCTTCAGGAGTAGAGGACACGCATGAATGGAAACTTATGGAACACCCTGGTTAGACTGGGTGTCCTACGAGTATTTGTGCAGTTGCAAACTTTTGACTCCACACACATCAATGTTCAACAATTCCTGTTTAGAAGGCGAGTTACAGGAATGTTATAATCACTTCAGAAATGCAGTTTGTTGATAAAGAGCCCTGTCAACAGAATATTTACTACAGTATATTTGATATGTTTGAAGACGGGGAGGGAGATGGGCACTGGAAGGTCAAATTTGTTCCTGGAAACCGTAATTAGGATTCGTTTTTTGGAAGTGTTCCTACTTCCCTTCATGCTACTTCTAGAATCAACGAAGGAGTTGCTTTACCTCGACCACTGACGCTCTGAAAAGTTATTCGTTTCCAGCTAGTTTTGCTGATGCCGCTTCCCCATTTCTGGACTAGAACTACAAAGATTCCATTACCCATTTACTGAGCTGAGTGCCTGGTGTAAGGCTGTGAGCAGTAGATTTCAGTTGGAATGTTTGTTTTCTTTCTGTTGTGCACTTGGCGCTTTGTTGACAGCTCTAAAATGTTGGGTGATGGATCACGTTCAGAATGGCATGTACGTTTGCAGGTGCAATGCCCGCTGTTGTGACTGACCACTTGTGTCAAAAGAGAGCTGCAATTCTAGTGTGAGACCATTAGTGTTGTCACATCTCACAATTAGTTGCCTTTTGCATTTTTAGTTTGCATTTGCAAGCTTGAAGGTTGGGACTGACATATTTTTCACTAGTTTTCATATGAGACAATAAAGGACATTTTATGTGACTTCCGTTGGCAAATAAATGTAGCAGTTATGGGGCGACCTACCAGCAGCGATGTTGGAACCTCAACTCTCAACTAATGGATGTGTTTTTTTTTTAAATTTATTTTGAAAGCTATTGGATGGGGAAGTTTGAACAACAGAATAACGTCATGGCACACGGGTAGTAACCAATAAGTGCTCCGTTCTACTTCTAACTCAAGTCTGAATCCGAAGTAGATCAGCGCAGTGCACAGGCTCCGTAGCACCGGCAAGGATACTGAAATATTTTGAGTAGATTTTCAACTCAAAATTTTGTTGGGTCAGCGGGATAGGCTACCCTTTTGGATTTCCAACTGCCAAGGGATTTTTGACGTGCGCAACAATACACACAGGTGTCCGATCTTACTACCCAGAGAACAGGGGAAATAGCCAGAGGTCCACGTGAACAGAAAAAAAAATCCCAGCCTTCAACGGGGGCCTAAACCCAAACCTCTAGCACTCAAAGCGGGCACCATGCCTCAAGACCACACAGCCCCCTTGAGGATTGCTGGGGGGAGGGGGGGGGGGAGGAGACTGAATAAATGCATGGGGGGAGACTGAATAAATGCATAGAAAAGCTTTATCTCTATGTCTGATCAACAGGCACACAGGTGGACTGACTAAACAAACTGCCCAACAAGCTCTCTGGCGACTATTCTTTGGCTGTAATTTTCTCTAAGAAAATGTATGTGGTGGTTCCGTATACCGCTCCACACTATAAAACCGACCCTCTACTACAAACAAACAAAATCCAGTCAGTTACTAATTTAAACCCAAGCAATGATGAATAATTTCAACAATGAATCACTGAAACATTGTTTTCTTATTTTTAAAGTCACATTTTATGTGCGTGTCAAGTCTGAAAGTTCATAGTGCCACAAACACATTCAAGACATCATATAATAATTACTCATGTCTCAGCCATATCCAACAATGATAACAATGTTACCTGCATCAGTCCTGGGCAACTTGCATGTGCGATGTTGTGCTACGTACTCACTCATGGAGACCTCAATTATCATATTTTCTATGTATAAGACATCCTATTATGTTTCTCTTAAATCAGGAAATAAATATTTAAATCACCCTACCATGTATAAGAAGCCCCCTAATTTTTTTAGGCCAAAATTAAGAAACACATTCCATGTATAAGACGACCTCCAAATTTTAAACTTGAAAAAATTTAATTAAAAAAACATAATGTCTCATCATGCATGGAAAAATATGGTAACTGCTCATTTTTTCCAGTCATATCCAATACTGATAAAAGTCAGTAATCACAACTCTCTTTGATAGGCCTTTTCCACCATCAATCCCTCACCAACTTGTGTATGTGATAGGCCTTTTCCACCACCAATCCCTCACCAACTTGTGTATGTGATAGGCCTTTTCCACCACCAATCCCTCACCAACTTGTGTATGTGATGTTGTGTGTTGTGCTCAATCGTGGAGACCTCAAATAACTGCTTACTTTCTCAGTCATATCCAATAATGATAACAGAGTCAGTACGGAGGACACCAGAGCTCTCTTTGACAGGACTTTGCTGGCATCAATCCTTGACTAACTTGTAGATGTGGTGTTGTGCTCCGTGTTCGCTCGTGGACACCTCAAATACAAATGCTATGCATAGAAGGGTTTCTTGGGTGTCCCGGTTTGTAACCACCTGGTTTAGAAAGTCAGAGTAAAGATAAAGAAACAGTAATGTTTCATCAAGATTCTAAAAATAATTTATGTAAGCAAAGGTTGTCAAGGAGGAGTTGTACGAACTTTAACCACACAAAATTTCTAGGCGTTGCTAAAATTCTTACCAACAAACAAATGGAAAAGTAAGACAACAGAAATATTGAATAACAAAACATAAAAGTAAATAACCACTTGAGCCCCCCCCCCCCCCCCCCCCCCCCCCCCCCCCCCCCCAAAAAAAAAAGAATTTAACTGAACAAAAAATAAAAATAACGTTTTGATTTAGATTAACTACAGCTCAAATGAATTTTATACAAATTTTTGTGTGTTCACACTTAAAAGGGCAGCTGGCACTCTGTGTTGTTTACAGCTGGGCTGTGATATCTGAACCTTGTTGCTCAACACATCCGATTTCAGCAAATTCCCCAAAAGTAACCTGTTATGTCATGCTTGTTAGGGCTGTGGGTGGGTTCTTGTTTCCTCCATATGTGGAGCTCAAATGTATTTCGAAAAGCTGATACAGAAGTGACAGAGGAAGGAGGAAGAAAGAGGAGGAGAAGAAACAGCAGCGGAAAAAGAAGTTGGATCAGAGCAATTAGGAACAATATGAAGTAGCAGTAAAATGATGAAATTCTCCAATCCATTACTTCTCACACCATGTCTGAAAAACAGTCTACGTCTAATTTTTCTAATTAATGTCTACTGTTAGATGACTGACCTGTATTTCTCTAATTAACGTCTACTGTTAGATGACTGACCTGTATTTCTCTAATTAATGTCTACTGTTAGACGACTGACCTGAATTTCTCTAATTAATGTCTACTGTTAGACGACTGACCTGTATTTCTCTAATTAATGTCTACTGTTAGACGACTGACCTGTATTTCTCTAATCAACGTCTACTGTTAGATGACTGACCTGTATTTCTCTAATTAACGTCTACTGTTAGACGACTGACCTATATTTCTCTAATTAATGTCTACTGTTAGACGACTGACCTGAATTTCTCTAATTAACGTCTACTGTTAGACGACTGACCTGAATTTCTCTAATTAACGTCTACTGTTAGACGACTGACCTGTATTTCTCTAATTAACGCCTTCTGTTAGACGACTGACCTGTATTTCTCTAATTAACGCCTTCTGTTAGACAACTGACCTGTATTTCTCTAATCAACGTCTACTGTTAGACGACTCACCTGTAAAATAGTGAAGTTCTCCAGGACGCTGTTCATCATGTATTTTTCCGGAAGATGTTTCAGCTTGTGTATAAAGTTGATCATGTACTCACACATGGGCGACCGATGAATGCGGTAGATGTAGCGACCGTTCTCTATCCTGGCATACTCAGTCTGAAACATGGGATTTATCAAATGGATTTACGGATTTTGCTGACAATTTCTATTCTCACCATGTTTACCCCCTAACGTTTTTTTTAAAGAAAGGAAAAAGGGGGGAAAAGGGGGGGGGGGGGGGGTGGGATGTCATCGTGGAAATTCATATTACCCACATAAAATCCCATAGAAACAAAAACCATTTTACAAGGTATCTAATAAATGTATTCAAAACGTTAAAAAAAAAAATTTATGTACATTAAATTTGTTTTTAGCCGGGCTTGCTAGCGCAATTGGCTAAACCAGACTGCGTGGTGACTGGGTGACAAACTCCTTGTGGTCTTGGCTCCCGCCTGGGAGTAGGCAGAAAAGCCACATTCTTCCCAGATTGACGTTATCTATCATGGAATCATGGCTGAAGGGTTGCAATATCCACAGTACCCAGCCAAAGGGTTAACTCATGGTTTCTGGACAGTAATAATGCCGAGATCCATGTCTGGACTTTGGTCTTGTTCCAGAACTTGAGTTTTGTAAGCATGTACATTGTGCAGATCAGGCTTATTTGTATGCAGACTATTTGTTCCTCATCTCTCAGGCTGAAGAACTCTGATTTAGAAAGAGACACTCCTAATTTATTTGCCTTTTTTTTACATGTTTATTGCCATGTGGAGAGGGGGGGGGGGGGGGGGCACTGGGTCTACTCCCCAAAAGTAGAGAAAATCCTTTAGAACAGTGTTTCTCAAACCTTTTTTTTAACACCCAACACCAAACACAACAGGGTAAATTGTTCTGCGCGCCCACCAGACAGTTAACCAAACAGAGAAAAAAAAGTATTTAAAAACCAAATTTAGACAGCAGTAACTTTATTCAATTAGATGTTAACAATATTACAATTTTTAGCTAATGCAATGTTTGCTGCTGCTCACAGGTTAGAAAATATATGTGGCCGAGCAGGGTTTCCAGGACTTGTCCCGGTTTTTTCTTCATCCTTGATGTGTTAATCATACAGACTGCAATCATGGCGGGGGTGGGGGCCAACTACACTACCAAATTACACCATCAGGCAACAAATCTGGCAGCCCACCTGCTGGACTTTTGCAGGGGTCGAAGACTACATTCGTCAGATACTGCAGCAAATCTGGCAGATTCTGTGCTTTCAGACGTGTCTACATTATCTTTTGCTCAGAACGTAACAGAAAAAGAACACATGTGTCACAGCCAAGGCAACACTCACCTCCACCTTCTCCACCACCTGTTTGCCGAATGAACACACCTTCGTTGACACCTGGATTGTCAAGTTCTCATTGTTCTCATACCTGAAAGGTTTATCAATGTCATAAGTTTGTTAAGGAGTTTACACCAGTGTGTTGTAATGTTCAATTATGTTAACATCCACAACTTTGACAAACAGACAACTAAAGGGCATGAACACAGAAGACTACCCAGGCAACAATGAAAAGAAAACATACACGCACCCACACACATCACTGCTTCACATAGCAATGAACAGCACACATACACACACAAAACACTGCTTAGAAAAACAAGGAAAAGCACACATGTGCGCAACACTAGCAGAACACATACACACACAACACTGCCAAACAGAACACTGAAGAGCATATACAACTCTGACTTAAAACAAACTGTCAGTCCAATACAGAACTGTGTGTACTCATGTTATATTTAGTTAAGCCGAGGACAACTGTAATACACATTCTTGGCTACTACCTAACAGAAGTAAAGGAAACAAACCGAAACAAGCAACATATTCAACTCTGCTTGACACAACAGGTTTCTGTTGCCATTCGGACATGAGCTGTTGAGACAAATTAAGTCCGTTCAGGAAGATAGAGATTGACTTGGTCCGAAGACAGTGGTTGGTACCTCTAAGTACCAGTTGGGGTTGATAAAGATCAGTTTAATATTTGTGCCAGGGTACGCAGGTGTGCAGGGAAATGAACAAGCTGACAGGCCAGGGAATGCTACTGTGGAGGGCTGACAAGCCATAGACCAGGCTGATATACTGAATGCTCTGCGAGAAATAAGACGTTTGCGAGAATCTGCAACCATGACCAGACTGCAAGAACAGCGAGTTAAAAGGGATGTGCCCAGACAAGAATTTTATGCAGGAAGCTAAAAAAAAAAAAAAAGACAACTGGGGTTGTCAGCCTCTACCTGCTGTTGGATTAACTGACCAGAATTCAGCACTTCTGGACTGACTGGTCTGATGTTCAACAGGGATAACCTGTCGACTAACATAGACAAAACTATAGAAGCAACAAGAACTTACTGGCTGGTTACCCCATAAAAGGCCCCACTTTCATCCTGCAGATTTGTGTTGATATCAGCCTGCGGAAACAGAATTACAGTCATGTCATGGTATTCTTCTTCTTCATTCACACTTGAAAGGGTGGTTGGCATGTGGTGTTGCGGTTTACAGCTATGTTGCGATATCTGCACCTTTTGGCCAAACACATCCGATTTCAGCTAGTTTAATTATTTGCCTTTTACGACATGCTTGTCAAGGGGTGGTGCGTATAACCCCCCCTCCCTCCAATGGGTACTAGAACCGATATGGAGACGTGATGGTTTTCATTGGTCTCAAACTTTGATATTGTCTGCTTTATTAGACTATCAAAGCATTTAAGATTTTTCCCTGAGCAATCTCTCATATCTCAAGGCTTTCCAGCTTCCATGGGCATTCTCTCATATGCCAGAGCTTTCCAATGTTTCCTTGAGCATTCTCTCATATATCTCAGGATTGTCCAACATTTAACTAAGCATTCCCTCATAGCTCAGTGTTTTCCAATGTTTTCCTGAACACACTCTCATATCCTAGTGTTCTCATATTTAAATTTGAAAGTTCAGTTATTTCCAATGAAAACATTTTTATTAAAAAAAAAAAACTGCTTTAAAATTATAACTCGAAATACAAAAGAAAAAGGTCCACAAAAAAAGTCAAAAGATGCAGGCAACCCGTTAATTATGCAGGGATATATACTGGCCCCACTTTGGAGGTAAAATGATACAGACTCCTTGCAGATATCTCTCTATCATTTCATACTTTTTCTAGAACTTCCCTTCATCTTGGTTAACTATTTGTATGTCTCCTTCTTTAGACCGGTTCACATGTCGAATTTCTACAGGATGACATTTCCTGCCCCATCCCCAACGCCCCTATTTGGCCTCTTATGACACACATGGTCAACACAGTGTTACTACTCTGTGCTTCCCTAATGGGTCCCAGGACCGCACAAGGTGGATGGTACGTTACCGACGTAGAAACCTGTACAGTTCATCAGTCCCACCTGGCACAACCCACTTACCCAAAATTTCACCAGGAAAAACGCAGATGTAGGTCCTTTGTCATATAATTCTTTGAGGCCCCCTTTTTTCTCGGGAAATTTGTCATAAATTTGCCTGATGTCTATAGCCTGTGGAAGAAATAGAATAAAGGAAAATATAGGTAAATATAAGGTTACTCACAATAACAAAAATGAATCATAAATGTGATGTCTATAAGAATAATCAGACATGCATAAAGAAGGTTTTTATAAAGAAGTATAAAGGAAAGATTCTTATAAAATATAAAGAAGGTTCTTATAAAGAAGTATAAAGGGAAGGTTCTTATAAAGAAATATAAAGGAAAGGTTCTTATAAAGAAGTATAAAGGAAAGGTTCTTATAAAGAAGTATAAAGAAGGTTCTTATAAAGAAGTATAAAGGGAAGGTTCTTATAAAGAAGTATAAAGGGAATGTTCTTATAAAGAAGTATAAAGGGAAGGTTCTTATAAAGAAGCATAAAGGGAAGGTTCTTATAAAGAAGTATAAAGATGAAAGTTCTTAAAAAGAAGTATAAAGAAGGTTCTTGTAAAGAGGCATGAAGGTGAAGATTCTTATAAAGAGGTAACAGGATTAAGATTCTTATAAAGTATAAAGATGAAGGTTCTTATAAAGAGGCAAAAAGATCAATCCTTTAAAGAATTATACAGATTATTCTTATAAAGAGGTATAAAGATGAAGGGTCTTAAAAAAAAGTACAATGATGAAGGTTCTTATAAAGAAGTATAAAGATGAAGGTTCTTATAAAGAAGTATAAAGATAAAGGTTCTTATAAAGAAGTATAAAGATGAAGGTTCTTATGAAGAGATATAAAGATGGAGATTCTTGTAACGAAGTATAAAGAAGAAGGTTCTTTTCAAGAAGTATAAAGACGAAAGTACTTATGAAGAGGTATAAAGTTTGAGATTCTTGTAATGAAGTATAAAGACGAAGGTTCTTATAAAGAGGTATACAAATAAAGATTCTTATTAAAAAAATTAAATGAAAAATAACTAACTTACTTCTAAAAGGGGATCGTTGTAGGTGGCCGTGGAGCCTATGTGTACAAATAAATGCTTGTGGTACTGAGGAAATAAACAGGATATTCTGAAATAATACTATTTCCAATCAAACATACAATCATTTATCATGATTCTTTTTTTCTTTTGCACACGACGACTATTAACAATCTACAATGGTGACTCAAATGATTGACTTTATTTAATGGGCCATAAAATAGCAACTGATGTTAATATTCCACAATAGTGTGGACACATCAATGATTTACAAGGTAGTGCAAACCCTTTTTTTAACATCTTTAGAAATGACCTCCCCCCCCCCCCTGTTTAAAAATGCAATACCAAAACAACCCATCCTTATTACTCTCTGAAACTCCACCCCGAGAAACTAGAGGAGAAACAGAAGAAATCTGGAGTTTAAAGGTAGCTTTAAAAAAAAATTATTATTTGAAAAGGGGGGGGGGGGGGGGGGGGGCTTAAACCACCAAACATACAGACAAGCGTGAAGTTTTCTCTACAGCTTTGATGACTGACATCAATTTAAACAAAAAAAAAAATGTTTTCAATCACTAAATGGATAAATCAGGATACAAGCAATATCCACTGCTGCTGATCTTATGCATCTCTGCCTATGATTTCCCTATGTCATTTTACCTTCCTTCCTTCCCCTGTCTACCGTTTACCAGGTTTTCTTGGGTCATCTGCTAGAGCGCTGGTCCTTGTCAAAGTGTCATAAGGCATTCTGCAAACAAATCAAAAACCACCTCCACCTTCTTCCTTTGATAACGTATGCCAGGAATGAACATTTCATTTTCCTCCTCAGTTCTTCATCGGAGATCTTGTCAGGCGAAAGTACTCGCAAAATTCCTCTTGGACATATATTGTGAAAAGAGACCACCCACTGTCTTGGTTAACTGTTTTGGAATCATCTCCAACTACAGCATCTTGGACCTTCCCCTGTTATCTCCAATCTTCAAAGCACTATGGTCTTTACAAGATATCTCATCATCATCAAGTACCCTATGGACTGGCGTGGGCGATCATGCTGCTCCAATTTCTGCGTGTATCAGTTCGTGTATTGACACCCCTCCATGACATGATAAAAAGCTGTCAAGAATCTTTTTGCACTGTCTTCCTCTGTCTCTCCTTCCCGAGATCTTTCCAGTGGTCACAACATGTTCCAGTTTCCTTCTTTTCATAACATGACCATAAATGATGACTGTCTCTTTCTGATGTTTGTGATAATTTGTCTTCGAGCCTCTGCCTCTTTTAAAACATCTATTTTATTGTTGTTGTTGCTGTTCAAGGAATTCTAAGGATTCTTATGTAAAACCACATTTCTAAGACCTCAAGAAATTGTCTGGCTTGTTTAATAACTGTCCAGGATTCACAGGCATATGTTAAAACGGACTATGTAACAAGCAAGAATTCTTTTCTTAACCTCGTAAGACATGGATATACTGCATAAAATCTGTTTTATAAATTGCAGTTTTTGCCTGTCCTTTTATCTCTGGGATACATCTTCCATCAGATGTTTAGAATAATGAAATTTATGTACTTGTCCTAAAATAATGCCTTTGACTTTTTTTAAAAATGATACTTTTAGGCACTATTCTTTTCTTTTCTTAGATATTGCCATTACTTCTGTCTTCCCACTACTCAAGGTGAAGCCCATTTTATCACTTGTTACCACCACCATATCTATTAAAGCCTGTAGTTTTTTCTGAGCTGTGGTGCCATCAGCATAATGTAAGCTGCTAATGTTATGACCGCCTACCAGAACTACTGGCATATCCATGATAGATCCCATCATATCATGTCTCACATATTCAAAATCATGATGGCCCTACTTTCCCAACCACATATCTCTCACATACAGGCCTGGGGTCTCCTCAACCTTCTCTCTCACACTCATTTAATCTTAATCTCCCCAAACATGTTATTTCACACTTACATAATCTTGATCTCCAAAACTTCTTTTTTTTCCCAATAATATTGAACTCTTGAACCTTTTATCTCTTACTCTCCAACCTTCTATCTCTCACTTACAGAATCTCGATCTCTCTAACCTTCAATCTCTTACTCACAGAATCTCGATCTCTCCAACCTTCTATCTCTTACTCACAGAATCTCATTCTCTCCAACATTCTATCTCTCTCACATAATCTTGATCATTCCAACTTTCTATCTATCTCTCACTCACAGAATCTCTTTTTATCTCACACTTTCAGAATCTTGATCTCTACAACCTTTTATCCATCTCTCACTCACAGAATCTTAATCTCCCCAACCTTCTATCTCTCGCTCTCAGAATCTTGATCTCTCCAACCTTTTATCTCACACTTACAGAATCTTGATCTCTCCAACCTTCTATCTCACACTTACAGAATCTTGATCTCTCCAACCTTCTATCTCACACTTACAGAATCTTGATCTCTCAAACCTTCTATCTCACACTTACAGAATCTTGATCTCTCCAACCTTCTATCTCACACTTACAGAATCTTGATCTCTCCAACCTTTTATCTATCTCTCTCTCTCACATAATCTTGATCATTCCAACCTTCTATCTATCTCTTACTCACAGAATCTTGATCTCTCCAACCTTTTATCTGTCTCTCACTCACAGAACCTTGATCTATCCAACCTTCTATCTCTCACTCTCAGAATCTTGATCTCTCCAACCTTCTGTCTCACACTTACATAGTCTTGATCTCTATAACCTTCTATCTCTCACTCCCAAAATCTTGATCTCTCCAACCTTCTGTCTTTCACTTACAGAGTCTTGATCTCGTTGCTGTTCCAAAAAGGCCGAGAACTCTACTAGCCTCAGTTTGGGCCCTGCAATAGACCGCCCTTGCCAAGGTGGAACCATCTCTCCAGAAATGGACGGAAGCTTGGTTTCAAACCCATATGCCGATGTAAAGGGTTTCACACTGCAAGCAGAAAAACAGCTCAAAGTTAAATACAAAACCATGACACACAAATTCAGAGTATTGATGAGGCTGGGTCGACCTGGGAGTCAAGGTCATTTTTGAAAAAGGTCTGGCTCCGCCAAGGGAGCAAACCCACGACCTTCCGATCTGCACGTGAGCATCTAGCGGCTACGCCACGGCTACTCCCTCTGTCTCATGTACTTTCTATAAATTCTGACACAGATGATGTTTCATGCCACGATGTCAAACTGTCCGGATATTCTCGTCTCCCTCTACTTCTTGTCCCCTCCAACTTTCCCCCCATCATAATATACTCCCGTTTTTCTGCTCATGATATCAGCAAAGATTATAGATTGTCTCTTAAGGTGGGAGCAATCAGTTCACTTTGCGAGTCAATTTCTTTCAAGACATCTTCATTACTTTTTTTTTTTTAAATCTGTCTAGGCTATTCTCATCATTCGTCTATAAAACCACATGCTGCTTCCACATACCGTTCACTAATCAGCTAATTCAACATGACTCATTTCAGTTTAGGAACGTCACTGTAGCTACAGAGTTTTCGTGCGGACGCCAACACAGGCGGAAAGTTTCTTATCAGCTGTCCGTACTGGTGGCAGAGCATTTATGGTTTATAACGGTGTGCAATGACGCTGGTTCACGTCTCCCGATTTTACCTTTATTTCTGTTTATCATAACAGGATTTATTCAGCTCTTAAGAATTCTCTTTCTCACCTCAACTGACAAAGAAAGATTGCACAGAGTATTCTTCACTATTTGAAGTGCAGCCTCTGGCTTGAGGTATTCTACGTTTAACTTCTCTGACTCATCCATCTTGCATCTGCTGTTCACATGGTACCCAAGTACTATCAACTTGCTTAAGAACTGTCATACATTACACATGTTATCAAGATGTGGCCCTGTAAGTTTTCTGACAGAAGGATCAAAGAAAAGAAGATATGTTATAAAGGAATTATATTTTGAGAAATGCCGTTAGTGAAGAGGCCTGTGACAGCATTAATTCACTCACAACTGGAGGCAAACCTATACCAGAATTAAGATAACACAGGAATTTGATAAATTAATTCTAGCCTTCAAAAAGTGAAGAGGAGAAACTGTCCTGAATTTCAAGGAAAATATGTCCACAATGAATACAGCCCACTAATCCTGTCTTAAAATCGACAATTAAGAGACTGAAATGTCATATTAAGTCTCAACAGTGAGCAACAATGGTGATTGCACACACAAAAAAACAGAAAATGACTGACTTTAACAATGCATCAAGCTAGTTAAAGTAAACAATTGTGAGTCCATACATTTTTCCAATGGCAGCTTATGAATGCATGTAAGTCATGGACTCTCACTCAACTGCATACCAAGTGTTTCTTGGGGAAGAATGAGTTGTCTTTTCAAACAAATTTATTTTAAACAAACAACAACAATCCTTACTCTTCTTGAGGTAAACCAGGCTGCCAGATCTGAAGGAATAAAATAATAAAAAGATTTCAGAATTCAATATGTGACTCATAAATTGCAATATCCAAAACTAAAGTATAAAGTATCATTTGTAGTTTGGTCTTGCTGCATTCCCACTAGAATGAAATGGTTCGGTCATCTAGTGAGAATGCAGAAAGACCAAACTGCACATGAGTTTTTTTTTTTTTTAACAACAGAACATCTGGGAGGAAGGGGAGGGGAAGACCAAGAAAGAGATGGATAAATGGTGCAGCTGGAATCTGCACACACACACACACACAAACATGAACTAATCCTCCCAACAAAGCCAATTGAGAATCACAAGGCAAATACAGAAACCATGTCACTGGGCTCAACCTGGTATCAATGAGATGATGATAAAAGAAGATGAAAGAAAACTAAGCTTTTTACCTCTTGAAACAGTGATACTATTTTTCACACTTTAACCTGAAATTCTTCTAAAGTACCAGTTTAAACTTTGTGAAGGTGAACTGAACTAGCACCTATATTTCCTAGTGATGAAGAATGGGTTTAAGAGGTCATTCATTGGGTTTCAGAAGCAGAGGTGTTGTCCCACAAGTGGTGTTGCCAGGACCTGAGTCAGGACCTATCCAGAGCTCTCCGGGGTTGACGGAGGTACATGTTCCAGTGATCTGGCTAATGTAGATGGGATTGACACTTTAAAGTCAGAGTGCAACTACCTGAGAGGCGAGGAATCAACAGTCTGCAAACAAATAAGCTAGATCTGTAAAACAGATGTGCACACAAAACTCAAGTTCCGGAACAAAGCCAGAAGTGTTCATGGAAGTGTTCACTTGTTCACTGAAGTGTTCACTTGTTCATGGAAGTGTTCACTTGTTCACAGAAGTGTTCACTTGGTGCAAACTCTGGCAGAAACTCTTGGTTTTTTGTGTCCACTTCTGGGCTTTAGCCAGAACTCGAGTTTTGTGTGCACATCCATTTTACAGATCTGGCTTACTTGTATGCAGACTGCTGTTTCTTTGCATCCCAGGCAGATGCACTCTGACTTCAAGGAAAACACCCCTTATTAGTCATCTCATATGTCATGCTGGTAAGCAGAAAGTGATTAGTCTGTTCTTTTGTGCCCCTAACAATGGGGGTCACGGAACCCACATGAGGAGGAACAAGACCAAAGTTAAGAAGCTGACCAACAGCCAGGATCTTCCATTGGATTTATAGTGGTGAATGTAAACAAGAAGACTACTGGGTTCTAATAATGGCTCACTGATCTTCTTTTTTATGCTCACCGGCTGCAAACTTAGGCAAAAAGTTAGTCTTCTGGACTTTTGGCTCGTTCCAGAACTTGAGTTTTGCATGCACATTTTTTTTAAAAACAGATCTGGCTCACATGTATGGTTCCTCACCTCTCCAGCACATGTACTAAAACTTTAAAGGGGAAATCCCTAACCAGTCACTTTTTATGACAGGCTTGAAAGGGGTGGGGTGGGGGGTGGTCTAGCCCGGCTACCTTTTCTCCAGTGAAACTTTCCTAGCCTGGCCACCTTTTTTCAAGTGACAGACTTTCCTAGCCCAGCTACCTTTTCTCCAGTGATAAACTTTCCTAGCCCGGCTACCTTTTCTCGGGTGAAAGACTTTCCTAGCCTGGCTACCTTTTCTCCAGTGAAAGACTTTCCTAGCCTGGCTACCTTTTCTCCAGTGATACTTTCCTAGCCCGGCTACCTTTTCTCAGGTGACAGACTTTCCTAGCCTGGCTACCTTTTCTTCAGTGATACTTTCCTAGCCCGGCTACCTTTTCTCCAGTGATACTTTCCTAGCCTGGCTACCTTTTCTCCAGTGATACTTTCCTAGCCCGGCTACCTTTTCTCCAGTGATACTTTCATAGCCCATCTACCTTTTCTCGGGTGAAAGACTTTCCTAGCCTGGCTACCTTTTCTCCAGTGATAGACTTTCCTAGCCCGGCTACCTATTGTCTGTTAAACTGCGATGCTTAGCAGCAGAAAGCTCTAAGATATATCAATATGTCTGGCTAGTAGAAGTTCTAAGACATGTGTATGTACAGAAAATGGATACCAGTCAGAAAATGGTAAGGCGTGCAAGGGGAAGTAACTCCAAAAATATCAGATAATGCTGTGTTGGGCACTGAGGCTCTTTGATGAGATGAGGCCTATAAGAGAGACAAGACGCTTCTCAAGAGACTTATGTACCCAGTCACTTGAGTAGCTAGACCTGATGGTCAAAACCTCCATGTCGAAAATGCCACGCTGAACCTGACAACTGAAATGTATCGGTACCGCTCTTGGAGCACCATTCTGCACATCTAAAAGATGATGGCTGAACCTGTCAACCAGTCACAGCCACATTTCACCAATGTATTTCATGCCACATCTTTTGCAGACGATGGTGTAATTTACAATGCGACTCGTGAAACAGAAACCCTCACGCATGTGGAAAGTGGCATTAGGGAATGCCAGACAATTTCCCTAAACCACACACGGACAAGTCTTGCATACGGGTCTACGACAAAAAAGGTGGAAAGAAAGAATGGTGTCAACCAATGGTATAAATACTTGAATTAAAGACAAGAACAATGACCACTTACTGTGACCTTCAGCTGGGCCTGAATCTCCTTGGCCTTCCGGCGGGCCAGCACTTGGATGTGACTAGACACTTGTTTCCGTGTCCGTGTCTTGCCAGTCCGAAGCTTGATGTACCGAGCTATCAGCTCATTGCGTCCTGGAAAAGAGAAGCAGGTTTGTACACTGTATGTCTGCTTAAGTAACTAAAGATCCAGTCCGGATGACTTACTGGATTACTTCCTGTATGGCTACTGCCAGAAGCCCCAATTGGAGGGGGTGATTTGGACCCACTACCCCCAAGACGTTCCCTCAAAGTGGGAGTATATTTACCTGAGGCAAAGAACCAACAGTGAACATACAAATAAGTCATATCTGTAAAACAGATGTACACGCAATTCTCAGGTTCTGGAACAAGACTGGATGGCTTGATGCTAAAGCTCTTACATAGTGGAATAAGAGGCAGAATGTATTACTGGATACAAGACTTCCTATCCCACAGGCAGGCATCTGTGAAACTGGATGAAGCACATAGTCCCAGATTCAAGCTGAGAGCAGGAGTACCACAGGGTAGTGTACTGTCTCCAAAACTGTAGCAACACTCTTCTCATTGTCTACAAAGGAGGACACGTTTACATTAAAATTCAACAATGTTGCTGTTCCAAGCTCCAATACTCCAACCTCCCTGGGAGTCAAGCGTGACAGTCGTCTGACATGGAAACATCACATACTAGAAACTAACAAAAAAGCTAGGACAAAACAAGGTGTCATGAGGAAATTGGCAGGCACCACTTGGGGAGCAGACAGTTGTATCTTGAAGTAGGTATACACTGGCACAGTCAGACCAACTCTTGAATACGCATCATCGTCATGGATAACAGCAGCCCATTCCAATAAACACGTACTAGACAAAACGCAAAATAGAAGTCTGCGTACAATTCTTGGAGCCATAAAATCTACACCTATTGTAGAAATGGAAAAGGCAGCCAACATCATCCCCTTAAAAGAAAGAAGAAGGACAAAAGCAATTTTACATGGGGAAAAAATGAAGAGAATGCTAAACCACCCACTACACAAAAAATTGGCAGCCAGGACAAAAAACCTAATAAAGCGCACAAGCCTAAACCATCTAACTAAGTAATTTGAAAAGTCATACTCTTCACTACTTAACCAACAATGCACAGCTGAAGAGCTATCTTTCGATCTCTATGACTCCGAATTATTGACACTCAATGTGTCAACATCCATCCCGAACCTGGGAAACAGAATGGTTTTTCTCACTGACTCACTGTCAGCTATACAGGCCCTTTAGTCCAAACCTACTGACAGCACACTACAAAGTCTAACAAAGGAACTTGCTATGTTGTCAAAAAAGGCAGAAATTCACTTGTAGTGGATTCCATCTCACTATGGCATCAAAGGCAATGAAAGCGCTTTAGCCAAGGAAGGCAGTAACAAACCACAGACCTACCAGCCACTATCTTTTCCAGAAGTCAAAACTCTCATTAAGAGAAAATCAGAAACAGATTGAAAAACCAACACTGGTTATAACTACGAAAAAGATTTTCTGAAACACTTGAACAGAACAGACCAAGTCACAGTTTTTCGCTTACGCACTGGACACTGCAGACTCAATAAACACTCACATAAATTAGGTATGAGCCAAACAGCTCTCTGTCAGTGTCTTCGTGCTGAACAGACTCCAGAACATGTCCTGCAAGACTGTCGTCTCCTGGCGGAGCTGCGGAGCAACATATGGCAACACCCAGTAGAACTGACAACTAAGCTTTGGGGAAACCTAAGAGACCTTGAAAAGACATCCCAGTTTATGACCCACAGTGGATTATGCGCATGACCAGAGATTGCTGAAGAAGAAGAAGGACCAAGACTGAAGTGCAGAGGTAAAGGAACACCCAGAACTTTCCGCGGGAGTTTACAGCCAGTGAGCGCTAAGAAGAAGAAGGACCAAGACTGAAGTGCAGAGGTAAAGGAACACCCAGAACTTTCCGCGGGAGTTTACAGCCAGTGAGCGCTAACAAGAAGAAGACTAAGAATATAAAAAGAAAATGCCCCTTTTTAAAAATATATCGGGTTAGACTGCCATAATGTCTGCACGCGGGTATCAACAGTACCTATTTTATTTTGATCACTTTCTGAGCCTTACTGTGCAGGGAAAGCCCAAACCCTACAGAACTAAGGATCACAACCCAGATAACAGCATCAGTAAGCAGGCACTAGTAGTCCCTATGCCTCCTCACATATTTGTTGGACAATTCTTGATTGGCTCAGATAATATGGCAAATCTGTGGAAAGAACAATTTCAGCAAAACTATATCTTACACTGGTGCATATCGTGGGAACACAATCAATCACACTGGTGCATATCGTGGGAACACAATAAATCATTCTATTCATACATTTTCAAACGTGTTTTCCCCAGTCTTCCTCTTTCCCCCTTTTCTTTTTCTTATTCTCTTCAGCCTGCGATTGATCTTCCATCCCCCCTTTTCTTTTTCTTCTTCTCTTCAGCCTGCGACTGATCTTCCAACAGAGTAAATGGGGTACCCTCAATTATGGGATCTGGATGCACGCAGAGTTCAGCTAGTCTTTTAACATTTTCATTCCTTCTGTCAGCTCCTTCCTTTCTTGCAGCTCTCTCAACCTTTAACAAGTAAAAAGGACCCTTTTCCACACCTTCAAATGAATTGGGCGTATAGGGCTAGACATATTTTATAGACCAATCAGCACTCGGTTGGTGATGAGGAGTCAGCATCAAACCGGCTGACTTTGTTCCCAATGACTTAACCTGGTACCCATTGAAGGCTGGGTCAACCTGGGAGCCAAGGTCATTTGTTAAAAGAGTGGCTCCATTAACACTTAAAGATGTGTTCATTTCTTCTGTTACCCTTTGATTTTCATATTTCCTCTCTGTAGACAGATGGAAGGATCGGTGGAGGGATGGTGGAAATGACAGACAGAAGAGGAAAAGACTGGCGGCAGAAAGACAGATGTGCAAGAACATAGTCAGGTAGGATCAAATTTAGATAGATTACCACTTCTTTGCTACACACACACGCACACACATACATTGACGCACACAGGGAGCTCAGATAGATTGTGGGAGAGGAGAACACACAAAAAGCTGAAAAAAGAGTGGTGGGGGGGGGGGGGGGAAAGGGCTGGAAAGACAGAGAATGGAGTGGACAAAAGAGATAGAGAGAAATGTGAACACTGTCAGAGAGACATGGAGAGAAATGTGAACACTGACAGAGAGACAAAAAAATGGGACTGGAGAGAGAGAGAGAGAGAGAGAGAGAGAGAGAGAGAGAGAGAGAGAGAGAGAGAGAGAGAGGGAGAGGGAGAAGGGGGAGGGAGAGAGTCAAAGGTTACAACAAAGATAATAACCAGGTGAGCAGAAACCGACTGGCAAAAGTCCTGATAGAAAGACAAGAGAGTGAGCACACACCACAGAAGGGGGCTAAGGGTGGGTAAAAGCTACTAACAAACAACTGTCTGCCGTCTGCTACAGTCTGGGTCATTCTTTTTATTTTTCCTTCTCGCCGAGTCGGTCGGTCGGTCTGTCTTCCACAACCCAGTGCTCCCACTTGCTGTACTGGATGTTGGAAGGCATGAGAAGTTTCGGTTGTTTACCTATAACGACCTGGCCAGGATTTCTACACGTGTGCAGCCACTACCCGGGAGCTGTCAGCGCACAGCAGGAGTCTGTGTGTGCTGTCTGGTGGTGCAACAAGGCAGGCACCAGTGTTTCTTGTCTGGGTCACCGCGTGAGGACGTGGTGCAATAATCTGTGTGGTGGCATGAGGTATGTAGTTCGGTGCAGTATTCTGCGATTGTGTGGGGTAAGGGTTGTGTGAGTCTGTGTGAGTGCCTGTGTTTGCGGGGCGATGTCTAGTCTCATGTATTTATGTTCTGTGGGATTTCCGTGGCGTAGCAGTTAGACTTGTATTGCGTTAGAAACCACAATTAGTTGTATTTGTGTTTAAACGACCTCGGGTACCAGGTCGACTAAGTCTAAAATGGCTGCCTGGTAGAGTCATGGGAAGCAAAGGCGACAGGTATGGTGTTTACCACATCACTCCCCGAGTTCAGACCATGTTCAACCTGCTGCTAGCCAGCCGAAGCCGCTAAGTCTCCGGTTATATTTATGGTCTGGTTTATTTGCGCCACTTTCGTGGCTAAAGTTCTGGTATTTAAGCCATTTCCAAAGCGTAGTCTTCCCTTCATCAAAGATAGACCGCTGCCTCCTTTCCTGTACTCACCGAGTGCCGAATGGTCCATAAAATATGTTACGTTGGCACCTTTCCGTCTTTTCATACAAGGGTGTTCTATTGCGCAATGTGGAGGCATGGGACTCAAGACCATGGCGATGGCGAGTGTGACTAGTAAGACCCGCCCGTCTTCCACAATTACAGCATGGGATTTCAGAACCGCTGCTGCCATCATTTGTGTTTAACGTGTTTCTTCTCAGACGCTCAGCTCTCATCCTTTCTGCAATCACTTCTTCCTTCACTCTCAATCCCTCCGTGATTTGCCGCCACCGCGCAACACTGTCCATGTTCGCACGAATTTACCTTAATACCTGTATCTTTCATGTCTACTTGCACACATATTTATATTGTATATGAATCTTAGCATCGTTTGCTTAATGCACTACAGCGGAAAGTTAGACAGACAGTCTCGCTAACCCCCATCGCTTCTCAAACCAGTTAACCCAGTGTTTCCTAACGTGTGGACCAGAACCCACTGGGGGTAATCTGAAAATGCACTTTCCAGAGTTTAAGTTTCATAGGGGGCCAGAAGAACAGGCTTAGGTAGGGCATGGCACACACAAAAAGTTGGGAAACAATGAGTTAACCCCAAACAAACCTTTTTTGGTCGGACCTGTAACTCGAGCTTCCCAAAACTGGCGCGAAGTATCGCAGCAACCACTAGCTCATCCTGTCCCTACCACTCAGCGCTAACAGCAGACGTCGAGAAGAAAGGCCTGGGGAGCTGCAGGCAGACAAGGCACTGTTGTGCTGTTTTAACTGTCAGTGTGGATTTCCACAGGTTTCCTCTGAGTAGTTTAGCAATGTCCATGTGGACTGTGAGTATAAACAGCAGAACATATCCTACTAGTCTGTCCCTTTGTTCAGCCCA